CCCAGCAAGCAATTGGAAGACTGTTTTAACAGAAATCGTCTTGATGAGTCTTTTTTGAGTCCCCTTGACGATTAAAAAACGATCTAATCTCCTGGGCGATCGAAAGAAGACTCATAAATGACCCTTTCATATGCTCAAAGTATGATTGCTTTGAAATGCAAAAGCGAAATGCAAAGCAATCGTCAAATGAACATGCAGGTGATTAAAATATGATCGTTGCTTGCTTTTGCTTTGTTTCTATGCACTCATATTCTGGTTGCTTGGCTGATCCAAAAGCGATTCTTATCTAAGTTAAACGGCACTTTTTCTTAAGCACATGCCGAAATGTGCAAATTTTGTCATTCGATCGTGAAAGTGCAAGTGAAGTGCAAGTGCGAAGTGCAAACATAATACATAAACATTATCAAATAAATAAGGTGATTATGTCAGTCAAACAATTGCATCGCGTGGCCAAAAGAGGGGCCCATAAACTATTATTTCCTGAAAAGGAAATTTTGTATTAATTAATATTTTCCCTTTTAGATATTGCTACAAAAGCATTTTGTCCATGCCAATGACAGGCTGGCGAAGCGTAGGCGTTTAGAGTTAGTTTAGATTTAGTTAGTTTAGAGTTAGTTGTTATTTTTTAAGATAACATACATATGTATATATAGTAAATGAAAATTATATTAATAAAAAAATTATTTTCGTTGCAAATTATTGAAATTTTCATTCGAATATGAGTTAGAAATGATAAAATTAAGGCTCTTTTTTGATTAAAAGATGACTCGTGGAAGACACTTTTATGATTAAAAGATGACTCGTAGAAGACTCTTTTATGATTAAAAAAAAGAGTCATAAGCGACTTATCAAGAAGAGTCGCGGCTAGGGTACCATTTTTTCCCGACAGAACAGTCTTTTATGATCAGAAAATGAGCGCAAATATGACTATTTTCAATCGTCGCGCGAGTCTTTTAAGACTCACTTATGCTCTGTTAAACTCAAAAATGCTGGGTGTTAACACACATTAACAGAATTATGTTAGCTAAAAACACACTGTTAGCTAACATAATTCTGTTAATGTAGTGTGTTCTCAATAAAGCTCTAATATGTTCGCCAGTTGCTCTTCAACAAATTCCATATTGTATGTATAGAAATTGTGTTCATTTAATTTACTATAAATATAAGCACTTTATCTAGCATATAATCTGCATATCTGGAATATTTTACCTACGCCCAACTACAACTATACATACTCTAGACTTACTCAACTGAATTATTGTGATATTTCCCTCTTTGGTCTTTATTAAAACTAAAATTTCTGTACAATTGGCAGCTTAATTAAACAAATTTTACATTGAGCTCGAATCAACTCCAGGGCTTTATCTGCCCAGGGCGAAGGGTTCGCTGGACGAGGTCTTCACGTAGAAGATGCCCCGCTTGGGCACAGAGGGCTCGCCGCCCATGCGCTGGGTTTGTCGCTGGCGCTTGTCACACTGCCATTTGCCACCCTCGCGCTTGCAGGGCGTGCCCCAGAAGCCGCTGGGCGAGTTGATGGACTCGGCGAACATCTGGTAGGCGCGTATGTGGGAGCAGCCCAGATAGAAGCAGTTGCGCTGATAGAGTCCATAGTTCGGATAGAAGGTGGCGCTGCCCGTGGGCTTGAGGAAGCCAAAGTTGCCGCTGGTGTGCATGGACTCCACGTAGTTGGCATCGCTGGCATCGATGCGGAACTGGGCACTGCGATGCCGGAACTTGGGTCCGGCCGGGTCCAGGGCGAAGATCGTGTTGTACTGCTCCGGCTTGAGGTATTTGCCCGCTGCGCCGGCTATCTGTGCGCCCAGAGAGTGGCCGATCAGGTAGATGTCGTCGTAGCGTGCATGGAACTGGCGGTGCAGCTCGCGCGTGAACTGGACCAGCTGGGCGCCCATCCCCTCGATTAGCTTCACCACCGAGAAGTAGTTGATGTTGGCCGAGCTGGCGCTCCAGTCCGTCACAATCACATTGTAGTCGCCGTGCTTCAGGTAGGCATTCTTCACGTCCCGATTGAAGGAGCCGCGCGACTGGCTCATCCAGCCGTGCACGATGAGCCGTGTGGGCAGCGAGCTATTAAAGCCGGCGTCCCGCCACTTCTGCTCGTTGCGGAAGTCCAGCTCGCGCCCGCACTCGGGAAACTCGCGCTTGAACAAGTAGAACTGCATGCGGTGCCGAGGCGTGCCGAAGGGATTCAGATTAACGGCGATCTTCTTAAGGAACGACAAGTCCAGGAAGCTGCCAATGCCACGTGGCTCGCTCAGGTCGTTGTCGCACTTATTCCACACACGATGCTCGGCGCCCTCGTACTCGTCCGCCTCCAATGTGGCCAGCAAATCGTCGGGCTCTTCCACGTCAAAGTTGCCCCGGATCTCAAAGTCCACCTCGTCAGGGTCGCGCAGCAAGCCCATAAACTCGTCCATCTCAGCCTCATAGTCTCCAGCGATATTGTTATTGCTCTGAGCTGAATCACACAAGAGATCAGGATTAAGGATTGCTGCCTAGGCCGTAAGGCAATCTTCACTTACCACGGGCTGCAGTTAGCAGCAACAGCGCGACGATAAATGATTTCGAGTTCATGTTGAATCAATCAGCTCTATGTCGGATCCACTGCACTGGTGTAGCGACTATTAGACTCTGTTACGTGTGATCAGTTCAAACGCTTCTTTTATATACATTAATAGGTGACTGACACCAGTAAAGAGTTGATCTAACTCAATCTCAGCTATTTGCCATTTTCCCCGCCTGCACAGCCTGCAGCTAAACGCAGTGACTATCTATCTACGTTCGATCGGGCTGGCATTGCCCATGGCACGCGGTCCCCACTAGCAGCTCTACCGGTTCTATATATATTATATATAACTGCATTTATATTGAGAGAGACACATATGAGAGCTTTGAACTTTTGCGAGTCTCGTAGTATTGATGACGTATGGGAATTTCTTTTATTGATTTGGGGCGCTTTACTTTACTTTATAGTTTTATCTCCTATGCATAATGCATATTGTAGTAATGCATAATGCATGAACAGCCAAATGGCATAGGTGTAAATCAGGTATAGTCGAGACTTAACTCAACAGCAATGCAATGACATTTAGTGTAGCTCAACAGATGCTTTGACTGAAGCGCGCCTTTGTCTCAGTCTTTGAATGAAATGGTTTTTTTCCCGAGTTCGTGTAAGTTCCAGATTCATCATTATTATATCGTCATAGTTAGTTAGATAATATTTAATTGTTAAATAAATTACTTGACAATTTAAAATTTGTTCTCAATGTAATAAAACTATTAGTTTTTTAATTAATTATAAATTATTTAAATATATGTACATTAAACACAATATACAATAACAAATCAATCTATTAATGTAATATTAAAAAATGTGTAAATATCAATATAGTATTTAAATTTTTAATCTTTGTTATTATCTATTATTTTTTACAGGTATTTAACGTTAAATTTTCGAATTAACTTAATCAACAAAATGTAACGCATTTGCACCTTGTGTTTTGTATCCATCAGCTTTGGACCGATAGCAAATTTTTGTTTGCCAAATGGCAGCACTTACTCTTTCATGGTGGCATCACCATATATCGATATAGTATCGATAGATTGTGGCCTGCATTGCCTATGTTATTAATAACAAAGATCAAATCGCTTGCCGTGAAGAAAGCCGCACTCGCGGCTAAAACTAATCAATAAAATGAATATAGACGACGTAATATATTTGTTATGCCTGCTGGCCTGCATAGGCGCTGGCAGCTATGTGCGAAAACTTCGCGATGAGACGCAACGCAAATACGTATGCTCCATTCTCGGCCTCATTGTTGTTGTTGTCGTCTCGGGCTTCCATAGCCTGCACTGCGCCATATCCGTCGCCCTGGGCACAGCCAGTGTGCTCTTGGTGCACCCCAGGTAAGTGTAGTATTGATCTCAGATATTCATAGATTAATATGTAATTTCATAATTCCAGCAACTGCCATGTAGTTACTTTTGTCGTTATGTTTGGCTATTTAGTGTTCTTCCGGCTCGTTTACCTCTTCGGCCTGCCTCCTGTGCCTGGGCCAACAAATATGATACAAATGTTGCTCACCCTCAAGGTTAGTTGCATAACCATCTATGACTTAGAAACGAGCAGCTATTAAACTACTTTCTTAGGTATCTGGCATTGCGTTCGAGAAAACTGCAGCCTGGAAGCGCATTCGCGCTTGCGATGAGCGGCAGAACAATGAACAGCAGGAGGCCAACAGCGATCCCAGCCTAAATGTCACCAGCTATGATCTCAGCTTGCAGCAGCTGACTGCAACGGAGATTGTGCTGTATAGCTTCAATTACGTTGGTGTGCTGACAGGTCAGTGTATAGTGCTCCCAAATAATATATGCAGCTCACTTGAAGCAAGCTCTATAGACTCTTTAGAATACTGTCAGCTTATTGCCAAGTAATCGACTGTGTATTCAGTGTAGTTGCACATAAATTATTTGGTTCATATGCATGCAAATTGTGTGTCTTCAACTCGGTGGCCCGTACAATTGAACGACTTGCAATCGTTGTGTCAAAGTCCATTTACCCAGGTGTTTGAATTTTTACAGATAGTAAAAATGTTACGGCTGATTATCACTAGAGGTTAATAATCGTCATGTGTATGTCTTAAAAGCCTTATCGGAGTGAAAATTCGGCCTATCATTTTTTTTTTTTTATAAAAAAAAAAAAAAAAAGAAAATTGTAAAAGCTGAGAAGGTCTGTCTACTTTTAAATTACTTTTTGCAATTGGTAATACTGGTTAACTATAACATCTTTAGTTGCTTGTATAGATATAGCTTACAAAAAGCTAATTGATACACAATTGTACTTTCAGGCCTGTCTTCAAACCTGATTGACATAAAATTGCATTTTTGCATGCAAAACTTCCACTATTCTAAATCAAAAACAAATATTAATAATACCAAATATTTTTAAATCACAATATCAATAACAACAACATTTTGCTACTTTCAGGTCCCTATTATCGCTATCGCACTTACCGGGACTACTTTGAAACGCCGTTCAAAGATTATGCGCCTTGCGTGCCGGCCACCATTCAGCAGCTCAAGGCAGCCGTGTTCTACTGCAGTCTTTATCTGTTGGCCAACTACCTTTGGCCACTAGAAGTGAGTAAGAACAGGAAGGGAAACCTTATAATAAAAAACTGGAAAATTAATAATGCTATAAAATGTAGTATGCGATGAGCGATGAGTTCTACAATGATCGATCCGTTATCTACCGTGTGTTGTACGTGTGGCCCACGTTCTTTATCTTCCGCGCCCGCATCTACACTGGCCTGACGTTGAGCGAATGCGTCTGTACGATGGCCGGATTTGGCGCGTATCCCGATGATGCGGATACCAACAACGGCGAGGGGCCACGAAAGCCGTACCAGAATATGATTAAAGATGCCGAAAAGCATAGCTACAATTTCACAACAATTGTCAACACACGAGTGCTGGATGTGGAGCGCTGCTGGACCTTCCGCGAGGGCATGAAGCATTGGAATGTCTGCGTGCAATATTGGCTGGCGGTGAATGTGTATAAACTGTTTCCCATCAAGAAATATAGGTGAGTATGTCCTGGATGCACAGAGATCATTATAATGCTGACTTTTGCTGTCAATTTCAGAACGGGTGCCATTTTCCTCTGCTCAGCGTATTGGCATGGCTTCCGGCCGGGACACTATTTCTGCATCATGGGCGCACCTTTCTATGTGATTATGGAGGATACGTGGCACAAGCTGGTGCGCAAGGATGCTGTTGGTATGCGTCGCACCGTCATTGATGTTATCTTTTGGATCTGCAAGTGGTTTGGCTTCAGCTATCTGGGCACAGCCTTTTTGCTGTCCTCCTTCGACAACATTTGGCGTTTCTATAGTTCCGTCTACCACATTGGCTACATTACCTGGGCCCTTCTGGTTGTCGTGGGTCTCTATCTCACCAAGCTAAAGAAGTCCGCGGAGCGCAAAGCGAAACGTGCTGCCGATTCCATTGCAGCAGCTGGAGAGCCCGGCGCAGTCAAGCAAAAGGCGCAGTAAGAGATTTCCACAGC